TACCTTTTCTTTCTTTTTTGTGCATGTGATGATGCAGAGAACTTTTTTTCGCAGTTTCTGTCAAGTAACGGAGTACAGTACCCCAAGAATGATGTCAATCTTTTTATAAGAACTTAGAATGTATAAGCGTTCCAAGGACAACATTAGGATGGTGGTAGATATGCACCAGTTACAGGTTTTTGCTAGTTAAATATAATTATAAAACTGTATAATTAGAAGAATTCGTGCGATTTGCACATGTTTAAAGGTAAAGACACATATATGGTCATAATTTATTATTAATCCTTAACGTAAAATAAAGTCTAAGAAACGAGTTCATCATGTAAAATGTTAAACACGAACCGATAAGATCCATGGACTGCAAGTCTCTACACGCTAAAAACAAATGCGACTTAGGGTCAAATTAAGTCGCATTAATGTGCCTTATTCTGTGTAAATAAGGCACATTAATACGGCTTAATATGATCCTAAGTAGCATTTGGTTTTAGAGTGTACTATGTACTCTTCTTCTGGTTATGGGAACCATACTCTAATATCAACATTCAATAATATCGCTCTTTTTTTTTGAAGACAGTTCACCTCAAGTGAATGGATACCACTTTCGATCTTCCGACACCCCATTTGCAATGCATCGAAATCTATCTTCTTTTGCTTCTAGATACAATAAAAGTATCGCACATCTCGCTATAGTATGCTCTGTATGATAACGCTAATCAAGTTTAAATGTTCCATTAAAAAAATCCAACGTCATCTGAAAGTCGCAGTTTTTGTCCAATTTTTTGCAAAAAATCGAGGAATCTTGTTTTTTCCAGATCTGACACCTTGTGACTAAAGATCAGAAGAATCGCGCGTCCCAGTCTGTAAAAGGCAAATATAACAACTGTATCCAGACATAAGCAGGAAAAATCTAACTTTTTCTTTCTTTTCGTCTGAATAGAAGACTCATTGTATACTGTAGACAAGAATTTAAGAATTTTTATTGGAGAAAGTTTGTGAATTTTTACGAATCTATGTGCTGTTTATATTCATCTGCGTGTTCATTTGTCAAAGATGTAGTTTACATATGATTTTCTAAACAAATAAAGTGAAAGTGCAAAATTACTGGTAGGATCATATGCCTGAATCTCAGTAAAAAACCGAAAGCCAACATTTCAATCATTTGTTAAGTTTTATTCAATTAAATGTGTTTTTCACAGCGGTTTTATGCTTCTCATATTCATTTTAATTCTCAACGAAAGACAGTAAACGAGGAATGACATCCATGACAAATACAATAAAATACTTTAGCTCAGTTTAGTAAACTGAAGAGGTTGAAATGGTATAAAACAAAGCAAAATGTTGAAGGAATGAGTTAATACGAACGTACAATCAGTTTATTATTATGCTAAAGCAAGAGAAGTAAAGAACGAATTTTCAAGTAGAAAAAGTTTATAAAAACCGTTAGAAACGCAGAATAAAATCAACTGATAAATTTACTCACCGAAATGCATTATTCTTTCTAAAATTAGACACTTTTTAACTAATTAGTTCAAAACAAAAACACATGTGTTAGTTTGTCTCACACAAAACTTGTGATGACGATATACTGATCTAAGCTTTCTCTCTCAAGAAACTAATGCGTAAACAAATCTGTTATAGTGTTCTATGACTTAGACTATTGGAAAACCCAACAATTGACTTTGTAATGATATTGATTCACACATGTGAACTTAGATTTCTAGTAAATGTCAAAATTAAATTCACTACATTGTATCTGTATATGTTGTATAACGTGGCGATACGAAGACAAGCTCATGATATAATACAGTTCTGTATAGTTTTGCTACTTCTGCTTTTAATTTTGTAAATAAACATGTTCATCATATTTAGTACTAACACGCAAACAGTGAAAAGAACATCAAGAAAAAAGATAGAACAAGCCAAAATATTTTGTTCAGTAACCAAAAATCAAGCAGACACATGGCTAAAAGAGAACAAAGAATTGTGAATTGAAATTAAACAGAATAATAAATCTTTCAAATGGTTAAACACAAAAGGACTTTGCTCATGTAAATAGGTTTTGATCTATTCAAGGTCTGGTTCATTGAGAATTGTTGTAGAATTACGCATGAATGAATCCGACCTGTTATGATGAATTGACTAAAACAAAATAAAAATAAAAGTTCTTTATATATAACAAGTGAGTCAGATTAAACCGGCCACTTTTGCTTTCTGTTTTTGAGGCACTAAAAATCGTTTTAAACCCGATTTTGAGCACATTTGATAGAAAATTCATTGTTCTACAAAACTGTCGACTTTGTTTTTCGATTAAAATTTTCTTGTCGGCGCAAAATTTAAAAGATTAACACCTACTTAATCCTGTTTTCTGCACACATCTATCGATTTATGTAAGCCTATGCTCATAATGTTCGTACATTAGTAGATAGAGAATTTTGTGCTCTATGCTTCCACGACCTTTTTCAAGGTTCCTGGTACTATCGCTTAGAAGAAATAGGCTGGGAACTAACACCTAATGGTATTTTTGGATGCATTTTCTGGAAAATCATGTTTTCCAAGACGGACATGGTCTATGAAACGTAATTCTTTTTTCATTCATATTTTTTACTTCAAACATTTTTCTCGCAAATATTCCTTCTAAAATTCTGAATTATTCATCAAAAAATGCAAAATTTTACGGAGAACTTTGCAGCATATTTGATAATTTTAGTCGAACCGTGATTAAAAACTTTTCATCATTTTTTCGTTTTCTGACCGTCGCAGCTGGATGGTTGAGTAGATGGTAATCTTTTAAACTTCACACCAACAAGAAAGTTTTATTTGAAAAACAAAGTCGACAGTTTTGCGGAGCAATGAATTCTCTATCAAATGAGCTCAAAACCGAATTTTAAAACGATTACTAGCGCTCGAAAAACAGAAAGCAAAAATGGCCCATCCATTATACAATACTGTTATTCTAAACATACTTGAGCAGCTCGTGGTAAACGCATGATTATTTCCTGAAATAATTCTGGTGGTAATGATTGTTGAAATAATGCCATAAGACTTTGTGGTTGACTACAAACAGCCACAGCTTTGGCTAAATGTTCAACACCGGCATCCAAATCACCTTGTGATAAGCGCTCTTCTCCTTTTTGAATTTGTATCAGAAAAAATCGTTTCATTTCTTCGGCATTTGTTATATCAACTTCAACCTAAAATGAATAATGGCATCTTCGTAATAAGGACTCTTCGATAATATCAAGACAAGTGAATTACAGATGAATCATCTTGATTTAGCAAAGGTTTTTGTTTTTGTTTTCGTCGTTCTAAAAAGAATATATGTTTATGACAACAGTCATCATATTCCAATAAATACATTTTTACTTACTTTCTTTTAATTTTTCACGAAATTCTGGTGCACTGCGCCGTTTATGATCAAAATACACACAGTAACCAACGAAACTAACACTAAGTACTCCCAGCGCGAGCGCCCAATAAGATTTTGCTATATCTGGCATCTAAAAAATATGAGATACAAGTGTATTAGATTGACAATGTTTTAGAATTTACTTTGATACACTTCCTATACATCGAGGTCGTTTCAATCTTTCGTCTCTACAATATCTATTACTTGAGATTAACCTGTGACAGCCAAACATAGTATCTTATACTACAAAAAGCTTCTTTATTTCTCCGTTTCCTGAAGATTGGTGAGCTTTTTAATAATTTCCTGTCAAAATAGTTTAATAAGTCAAAGGATGAAGAAGAATCAGTGTATCGAGTTGAAAATACTCATAGAAATTACTTTTATTCGTTCGAAAGCAAAAACGTTCCATTAACCGTTAAGTAATTTTGAGTTTTGAAAAAGTATTAGTAATTTTTTTTTAATATTTTCATGATCAGACGGATAGAAGAAAGTGGGGTATTTGACTGAAGCACAACATGTTTTTTTATGGGTATATATTAACCCACACAATTTGAAATATATCTTGAATACTTAAATTTTTTCCACATTTATATCTTCTTTTTCAGATTAAATGTATCATCGAAAATTGCTCACTTATGAACATAGTAATATAGTTTTTCTTTCCTTTCTTTAAACAATCATCTCCAGGTAGTAACCACTGCGCTACCGAAGAAAAAATCTTAATGACTACACATCGTAGAGAAAGAAAGTAAAAACGTCAGCCATATTTCACCATTACTCTTAGCCACGTTGCAAATATCCACGTCTATCATCTAAAATCTATAAATATGGAATATGTTCATGCTCAAGTTGTACTTTCACCAAAACTTTTAAACGAAATTAAACAATGGGTTTATTCTTGAGTCACTTATATAATGTTATTGCGTCATTTGGAACAGAAAATTCACGAATTTTAATGTTAGGACTGGATGCAGCTGGAAAAACTACGATTTTATACAAAATTAAATTAAATGAAAACGTACAAACGATACCAACGATAGGTAATTATTAGATAAAATGCTTATTACAGTAATAATAATACATAGTCTATCTATTGATACAAGAGGGACTATTACTAGATTTTTTATGAATTTTATATTTGAAACTACACAATTAAATTATTTTCTCATTTTCTTATAATGAACTTATGTGTTAATTAATATATTGGGTCATTGTGTCTATGTTTATTTATGATTTCTCTCTTCTTCAAAGGTTTTAATGTGGAAACAGTCTCACCAGCTCCTGGTATCTCATTCACTGTGTGGGATGTAAGTAAGATGTTTATTACCTTTGAAAAATGATTATTGAAAAGATTTAATGTTTTAGGTTGGTGGACAAGATAAAATTCGCCCACTATGGATGCATTATTTTCAAGGTACACATGGTCTGTTGTACGTTATAGACAGTAGTGATCGCGAACGAATACAGGAAGCAAGAGACGAACTATTTGGAGTAATAAATAATGAAAATATGTCAAAAGTACCATTTGTAATTATTGCCAATAAATCTGATTTACCAACAGCATTAAATTGTTCAGAATTAATTGAGGAATTAAATCTACATTCAGTATCAAAACGTCGATGGTATATTCAATCAGCATGTGCCATTAATGGAGATGGTATATGCGAAGCGATGCAACAAATGGCAAAAATGGTCAAAGATCAACGAAAATACACTTCAACATGATCATACTCAAACTTTTTTTCACACATATAAATACCGGTCAAATATGTACAGACAACTAGAAAAATTTTCTGTCATTCTTTGTATATATTGTTTTTTATGTTTTATATAAAATATGAATAGTGGACATCATAACAAAGGCATACTGCACAACAGAGATTACCACGAGCTGAGAAAACCCATGGGGGTCTACAGATCCTCACGGGCCGGGCTTACGTTTTCGAATCTTGTTTATGGGTCGGACCGACCGGGCTGCAATTTGATGGCCTGCATGCGAGCCTTTTTCTCAAAAAGTCGATAAAATTACAAGACAACATCGAAAGACAATACTCATAATAAACGTCAGAAAAAGACACTATCTTTACTTGAAAATGTCGCTGACGAAGTTGACTGTCTTTTGAGTATCTGTTCTGGATACTGCTAAAGCTACTGGCTAGAGTTTCTGTTTTTTATAGTTATTTTGTTCTCGGTCAGTTAAGTGATTGTGAAATTTTGAATGATGAAATTCCATCGATGGTAAATCGATTAATACTATGTCAAAATATCGCTTATCTATTCAAACAGACTTCGGGATACTCAATAATAGAACAGTAACTAACATCTGTCTATCTAAAATATAACTGGATAAACTAAAGGAAAATACAAAGAGATTAACGGATTTCATGTTTCTATAAGCTTATATCTAATGATATATTACCAAAGCCCAGCGCTTTTAATATCTCTTATGTTTCCATACTAATCTAGATTCTACGGGCTATCCTGCGGGCTGGCCCATAGAATATTCCATTTTGTTCATCACGTTACATAAAAGAATAATCGGAGAACGAGAAAGAAGTGAATTGAAACTTTTTGAATTAATCAGGAAAAGTCTCATATTAAATTCATTCAAACTAATTTTTTTTTAAAAAATTAATTTCAATTGATTTAGTTCGATAAACTAACTTAAACTGATTAAAAAATGTAGTTGATCTGAATTGGTTTATCAAACTAAATCAATTAAAATCAAGTTTTAATCTCGAAAAACGTAGTTCATGACCCTATCCTGTGAAAAAGTGTTGAGCCTTATGCCTGTGATGCTCTGCACGCCTCTAGTCTAAAATAGCTGCAAAAAGTCAAAAAAAAATAGAAACTGGAACGCTTCTTGGCAAGGAAGATAAAACACTTTCTGAGCCAAGAGGCACAACATCGTGCTAAAAAACACCAGAAATGTTTCTCTAGCTATTTTTATTATTACGTGAGAACAGTGATGGTTGTGGACGGGTGTGATCGGGATCGGGATCAATTGTCGCATCATTTTCTATTCTATTTACATAGTCAGTCCATAACCATCATCGAAAGAGAACAAAAAAACATTTATATTGAACAAAAAAAGGAATTACGGTGTGCCCGTTCTGACAGTGACAGTTATCGACTTCATTTTCATTAAACCTTTTCCTAGCAATATTAGTCATTTGTATCTCTATAGCTATCTAAACTCATCTCTCGGAGAAGACAAGCTGACGATAATGATTCTCCAGTTGTGATTAAGAATGAAAAAAAGAATTTTGAAACATATCAAATGTTGTTACCAGGATGATTGAATGAATGGCTCAGAATGAGTCATTTCATCCCAGATGACGCACAGTCTGCGTGAATAAAACAAAAGGTACGCTGACAACCAAAATATGTAATAAACGTGAATCACTAGCCAACAAAATCAGTATTAATGGATTTTTTTTCCTTTTCTGCATTCATTTTGCGTCTACGTGTCCATTTCGAGTGACGTGGTTAATAACGTGGCACTATAATTACCTGTTAGTAGAATTTCTCAATCAACAATGCGCTATAAATATGTCCCTAATACTCGATTTCAAACGATAAGATACATATCATTCACGTACATTAAGAAAAAACCGAATCACTTAGAATGGGTAATTGGTGGACAAAACTATACGATGCATTTGCTTCCCTAGGCGCTGATAAAGAAGCAAGAATTCTCATGCTTGGGCTCGATGCGGCAGGCAAAACAACGATTTTATACAAAATTAAATTAAATGAAAACTTGAGTACAATTCCCACGATAGGTAGGGTATACTGCTTTAGAAAGTAGTCTACACGATGAGTTAACATCATCAGTATAATGTATTTTTCAGGTTTTAATGTTGAAACTGTTAGTCCATGTCGCGGTGTCAGTTTCACTGTTTGGGACGTAGGTGGTCAAGAGAAAATACGACAGCTATGGAGACATTATTATCAAGGTGCTGAAGGATTGATGTTTGTCATTGACAGTAATGATCATGAACGGTTAGAGGAAGCAAAAAGTGAACTGAATGGAATATTGAATTCACCAGATATGTCACACGTTCCACTCGTTGTAATTGCAAACAAGCAAGATTTACCACGTAGGAAAAACAAAATAATCTAAACCTGCTTTGATACTTAGTCTAAAATCTCTTGTTTAGATGCAATGTCATGTTCAAATATAATTGAAAAATTAGATTTAAACAGTTTGAATAACAAACATAGATGGTATATTCAAGGAGCATGTGCAACAACCGGCGATGGACTTCTTGAATCCATGATTGAAATGGCAAGACTAGTAAAAGAATATCGAAAATCGGGAAATGACTATTCAAATTACTAATAAATGAAACATCGCTCGATTGCTTCTATTTGGATATTTTCAACAATTTGTACACACCTTATTTTCATACGTATCTACGATGGATAATTCTGGAATAAACAAAAAAAAAAATTCAAACCGAACATGTGATAAATCTACATCATTCTCCAAGCTACTTGATGAAATAATAAATATTAGAGAGTCATTTCCAAGATTCTAGTAGCTGCTCGTAGTACAAATACAATAATAGTAGTATAGATGGAACCGATCAAGAACCGCATAAATAGACAAAACTGGTCACTCTGGTTTTATTAATTGCAAGTCCAAATCGATTTTAGATAAATTTAGTAATTTTCTTGTTTTTTCAAATAAATGTCTGTACGACAGCATTTTTGTGTATGTTTTAGAGTTTTTATGTGTAGCGCTTACGTATTTACCTTTTTCAATATACTAACCTATCAGCAAGAAGTGCGTTTCCTTTCCGTATAACCATACCTAACTAATTTTGGAGGTTTTGGGGAATCAATCGGTCAAAATTTGTTGTCTTCGGCTAACCCGTCATACATGCCGGTTCTAACTATACACAATAATGAGAAAATAATTAAAATTGATGTATACAATGTATTTGTATATTAGAAAAAAATAAGTGAAACAATAAAAAAAGATCTGTTTTTTGAGCCAAAAAACCGTACAAAAACATGTGAGAACATAACAAAAAGCTACAAATTGTTGATTTTTTTTCCAAAAAAATTTCCTCATAACAGAAAAAAATTATATTTCAATAAAATAATTGAACAAAAAACGATGAAAGATTGTACATAATATTTAAAAAAAAGCTCTTGAAAAAATATTATAGCGCTTGCAGATAATTTAATTGGAGCAACCCATTTTTGCCACTTTAAAAACTTTATTCTAATACCAATGATAGTAGATACAACAGTGTCATATTATTTATTTTTCTACACATGAAACAAAGAACAAAATATCATATTAAAATTATAATCAATTTTGTTCGTATCTACTATTATTGTTGAATAAAGTTTGAAATCAGCTGCAAACGCATTACTATTTTGTCTTAAAATTTTTAAATGTAGAATATTTCTAAAGACTTTTAATTTATTTAAATTGTTAGACAGAATTATCGATGGAATATTTGTAAAAAAAATTTTTATTCTTCCATCACTGTTCGCTATAGTTCTGATAACAACATAAAAAACCAAAATATTTGATAGTTTGGAACGATAACTAAGAAAATACTATGACAGAAATATTTTCTGTATTATAAAAATAAATTGCACGTGCATTGCATAAAGAAAAACGTTTTATTAGCTTATTTAATAGAAAATAACAAGAAAAAGATGCATCTTCATCATTGCTATAAAATTTATAAAAAACAAGACAATAGCAGTCAGATGATCACAGAAAGTGAAAATAGCTTTATGAAAAAAATAATGTAGAAAAAAGCTGCGATTGAGTATATTAAACTATTAAGAAACATTTCATTTAAATTTCTTCCCCATCACTGTATTGAGAGAATAAAAAACAAGATCAGATCTCAGTATAACGATGTTGTTTCATCATTTCCACCATTTAATTGAACATTAAACATTAAGCTTTTTGCGCTCATAAAACTTAAATTTGGTAATGATTTTAAAATATGTTTGACATTGTTTGTGTTTATTTTTGTTGGTGTTGTTGGAGAGAAAGATGATCCAGGAAAAAGTCCAATTGTCTTTATTAAAGGAACAGTAGTTTTAGTCGAACAAGCATGTTCATTAGTGGTAGGTGATGACGTTGATAATGATATTGATGATTCTTGTACGTTTGTTGAAGACATCAAATCAGACATTTTTGATGGATGTAAATAATCGATATCTAATATTTTATTAGCATCAAATACTAAAATAAAAGTATTGATAAGATAATCATTCACTAATACAGTACAGTCAATATGTACGATATTTTGCGAAGATTAGTGTCAAAAATAATATATGCATGCTTTCTTGTCGAAGACGCTTTACAATTGTAATATCTCCGAAGTATGGATAACAAAAAGGATAAACATTATTTTCAATCCAAGTAATCGACGTCATGCATCATATAAATAAACAAAAAAAACTTCATCTGCTAGTACGGGTGTTCGGTTCTCGAGCTAGAATCGAAACGAAAAGGATCGCGGTTCTAGTTCCGCACTTAGAACAGAATCGCGATTCACGGTTCTGAGCTTAGAACCGAAAAATAATTTTTCAGACAGTAAGAAGTCAGCGAAATAGAATTCATTTTATAGTAAACGAAAGGATTCGTTTAAATGACGACAGGCAAATATATCTTTTTGTAGTTTTGTCAATAGTGTGTTTTCATTTTGTTAAAAGAAAGGCAAATCAAAAGGTCTCGGTTTCGAAAAAAAAGGAACAGTCCAAGTAACCGTGGTTCCATCATCAGAACCGGTAGCGCAATTCCGATTCTCGATGAAGAACCGAAAATAAAAGAACCGCTAATCCTATATGTCTGATTCTCTTCATTTTCATTAGTTTTACTGATAGTATTAGACGATAAACTAACTGTCCGATCGTTGGTAGAAGAGAAAGGAGATTTTATTTTATCTAAATCTGTATACATAGACGCTTTTAACAAGACACACATCTAGTATAACTACACCGTTATTTGTTTAATATAATTACCTGTAGGTGAATTTTTTAAACTACCTTCTTTCCAATCAAAGTGTGAATTAAGAGTTGAGGATGGCTAAATCAATAAAAATATTAGTCCCATGGTCAGATTCCTTCATTTCACTCTTACTTCATTTTCATTTTCTAACTGACCATAAACATTATCATTCATTATTGTTGATGTGATCTCTTCTGGTCGCAATATTGTAGGTGTTAATGAAGTTGTTTTAGTCTATAGGAAAAAATACATCAATTTGCTTGATTAATGACGAATAGAGCATACTAACTGTATATCTTTCATTGACACCAAGTGCTTGGTGAAAAAACTGTTCACTATTCGATTTTCTCCATTGAAATTTTAAACCATATGGATCATTTGAAACATCAGATAATACATTCCATACACTAAAATAATACAATTATTAAATGACACTTAAGTAAAATAAACTAAACATACTTTAGACAGGGTTTCAGAGACGACAAAGTTGAATTTTTATTATTTATAAATGTTGGTAATTCAGAATATTCGCAATATTCAATGGTGGACGATGACGATGATGGAAATAAAAAACAAGTTTGAATTATTGACTCAATATCATTGATATTACAAGATGGATCACACTATAACAAAAGAAAAATGTGCAGAACTTTGGCTCTTGAGTAAATCGTTTCAGGAATAAAAAGAAGTCACAACAAAGTTGTCTTCTATTTGAAAATGTGCGCAAGCGAACGAAAAATTTTGATCTGTCATTTATTCGACTTACAATCGGTAACGAAAGAGTTTTTGTTTTCGATTCTTGCTCTACAAATGAGTTCAATTCTGCTGATATGTGTCCTTCATTAAATTTGCCAGACTCATATTCCTCATCATTACCATTTTTTGTTAGTGTAGAATTGATTGTAGCTGGTAGATCTGTCACTATTGGTGTTGTGTTATATTCAAAATATTCCCATCCCTCATCGTTTTCCTCTTTCGTGAATGAAGTCTCACATTCTTGATTTATATTATTATTGTCAGTTTTGAATGATGCAAAATTAGCCCAGTTATTTGAAGGACTGTTATCTTCATCAGGAAAAAAATTTTTGTTGCTTATTTCGTTAGTTTTTTCTTCTGTTTCATCGTCTTTCTTGTCATCCATCGATTTCCACTCATCATCTTCATTTTTAGCTATTTGGCATTTGTTAATTTCAGCAGTTATTACGGATGTTAATTCGTTGTTAAATAAAATTTGTGCATTTTCCTCAAGAGAAATACCGTCGTTGATATTGTCATTATTTGTAACAACAGTATCGGTCATTAAATCTTGAAAAAAAGAAAAATCAAATAAAAAATCATTGCAATAGTCCAGATGACAATCATTTCTCATTGAACATGTATCTAATTCAGAAACAAGGAACGAATTTCGAAACGGCTGATTGTTAAAAAAAGTTTTAATAAAACTGAAAACTACTAAAACTCTCAAGAGCATCAATGTAAAACCTCAGTTTAACAGTAATTATGTTTGAATACTTCTCGAATGGTCTAAGTAAATTGTTGTGTATGACATGATACAACAACTTTCATAATGTTCTATCATCGTATATTTTAAATGTTTGTTAGATTATTCGAAAATTTATTTATATAATATCACATACGTACACGTAGATAGACAGTAACAATATTAAAAGACGGAAAAAAATGACAAAATTAGCTATGGCTTTCAATTTGAAAAAAAGTAAGTATTCGCCAAAATAGGAGAAAAAAACAGATCAACGAAATAAATAAAAGTCAATCATGATTTTGTAATAGTCCTATAAAGAGAGAAAAATAGACATTGATATTGTCTTTAAAACAAAGGCGAGAAACAATGCAAATACACATATATACATACTATGGTTCCTGTTCTTTCATTCTTGCTGTACTTAAAACAACATAGGATTGTTGTAATTGAGTTTGTTTCTGTTGAAACAAAGCAACTGTGTTCAATGGCGTATCAACACTACTCATTTTTTTCACCAACTATAAGTAAAATAAAGTAATTAAAAATAATTCATTTGGTACACAATCGTTAAAAAATATTTTATTTAACTTACTTCTTCTTCAATTAATTTTTTTGTTCGTTTTTCTGTTTTCTTTTTACCAGAATATTTACCGTGAAAACGACGTGATAAATATCGAAATGCTTCTTGGCTATTCATTCGTCGCCCAGCATCATCGGGATATTCTAATTCCACGTCTGGTCTATAGGCTTCTTTTTCTTTAAAATCTGTTAAAAAACCAGAACAGCACTCTCGTCGACTAAATTTATCATCAATATCACTAAAAATACAAACGATACTTTGTAAAATTCGTATTTGACAAGATGACAACTTACTAGTCATTTTTTTCTTCAATAATAGAATGTTTTGTCGATATTTCACTTGTTATACAAGCATTTTGTCGTCCTTTATCTTTTTCCAAATAGCCTAAAAATTTAAAAAAATCAACTAATGCATAGACATATATCAATTCAATCAGAAATATACCTTTTTGTTTTACTAGACGTAATGCATTCGCTAAACCACGATCGAGACCAGGCACCTCATCTAACACTAAATCTTCGAACTAAATAAGAAAAAGAAGAAAATTAAGATAGGTGTGACGATGAAATAATCCTCTATCAACGTACTCGAAATGGTATAATGCTTTTAATTGAATTATCTTCATCTCCGTTCATACGACTGTTATTGTTGTTGTTGTCATCATCATCTTGTTCTGTAGCCATCGCATATTCTAACAATTCATCATCATGATCGAGAACTGTTGCTTGACGATGTGTTCGTTTAATTCGAGATCGAGTTATAGTTGGGCGATTAAATTTTGTATCTAGAACAAAGTGTTGAGCCAATAAATTTAAAGGTGCTGTTGTTGGCTTTGTCGAGGAAACAACGATAGCCGCATCTTCTCCCAAAGTTCGACAAAATTCTGACATTGTATCCAAAATAAGCCCTTGTTGTTTATCTTTAATTGATATTTCAACTGTTGACACTTTCGTTGGCTCTTCTTTTATATTCATCGTCAGTTTACGATCACGCTCTTCGATCAGTTCTGATAATGCCTAAAGAGAAAAAGAAAAAAAACTTGAAAACCATTTTCACCATCAGTTCTTAATTCTCAACTCAAAAACAACCTTTTCAGCAGATATTACATGTGTTCCTTTTGTTTTTAGTTTGATTGTTTTATTGACAGCATCTTGCAACTCTTTGAATGTATCATCTTCTAATACGACATTTGATAAATCATATGGATCAATCAAATCAGCTAAAAGAAAACGATGTGTTTATAAAAGAACCATCATAAGATGAGAAAATCTATCTTACAGTCCATGAGATCAGTATCTTCACGTTTCAAGTCATCAATAATAAGTCTATTTGTTCGATTTCTAAAGATGAAAAAAACTAGTGCCTATTAGAAGAAAACGGGAATTGTTTGTTCTTACTTTTGCCTCGCTATGATTTCTTTTGTTGTCGTTGTTGTCAATGATTCAGTGGTACCAATATTGCCGTGATGATGCCGACTAACAGCTGCTGCAATATCCATTGCCAATAAATCATCAGGTTTTAATACTTTTCTCGTACGAAGTTTTTTCTTAATTACCTTTTTTGGTTTTCTAAATTGTTCCTAGAACGATAGATACATAAATCAGTTATTTGACATATGACTTTATGCTGATATAGAAGTAAACATACCAATTCATATTGCGTATAAAATTCGTTACGTGAATGCATACGTGAATGAAATTCTTGTCGCATACCATTCATAATGTTTTCATCACTTAAATCGTAAATGCCACCGGACTCTAATACATAAAAAATACTAACTAGAGACAAAATAGTCATCTTCAGGCCTCACGATAAATAATAAATCGTACAGTATCTGTTGCACAATCTTGGTGTCTCGATATACCAAAGATCTTACTCACGTTTTTTCTGCAAAGATGATGAGTCAACTTACCTAATTGAAATGATGATTTCTTTTTCTCATCGTATTGATCAAGCAGACGAGATTCAGTAGGCTAAAAAAGGATGAATTAGAGCGAATAATTCAATTAGTATGTTCTTTTTAGAATGTCTTACCATTCCGAAATTATCAACATCGTTGTCTTCATCTTTGTACGCACAATAATGTCCACTTTTCTGTTTGCGATCTTCGGTCTTTTTCACAGTTCGTTCATCATCATCAGTATTTACATTAACTAACACATCATCATCTTCTAACATATCAGGTTCACCAGGTTTCTTCTCTCGAATAATGCCTAACAAATTTAAATTGAAAATTCATGTCAGAAGATGAATAAGAACTTCTATTATATAAATAGTTACTTTGATCTTTCAATGTTAATATTATCTGTTGACCTTCTTTGAACGTATCAGCAGAATGTTCGATGCGAAGTCCAGTTAAATCTTTCGATGTATACTTCTGAAAAGCACAAATCGATCAAATATAGTATTTTATGCACAACAAGTTCAGAGGACTAGCTATACAACTATAACAAAAACTGCATCATTCTGTGTATAGTGATTACGATTATCGGAGTGGCAGAGAAAAAGAGCGAAGGAGACGAAAGGAAGAGGAATTCTTCTATGTAAATAAGTTAGTCGAGCTGATATCGGCAGTAGTTTTCTCCAATTACTCTCTCTCAAACCAAGTAATTCCAAAACAACGATTGTTTAAATAAGAAAATGTTATTTAGACAGATGGGCGAATCACTGTCTTGAGTCACTTAAAAAATCATTCACAATTTTTTAGTGTTAAAACGTTTCGAGCCACTTTAGTATCGTTCGATTCAGATTTGTTTGGGTGATAAAACTGACTTTGAAAAATTAGTTGCTTTTCAGTCGCTAGACCGACTCTCAGAAAGCGGTAACATATATTGCGATATATCCCTTCTTAGCCCAAACAAATCTGAATCGAACGGTACTAAAAGTAGCTCGAAAGGTTTTAATAGTAAAAAATTCTGGGTGAATTTTAAGTGACTTGGTCATCTCTGTATTTAGGTGACTAGGTATGTCTCTCTTTAATATTCTAAGTAACTAATTTGTGGTTGTCTTGTTAAATATTATGTAACATCCTATTATGAGCTCATGAATGTGGACGCTCGTTTAGTCAATTATTTTGCATTGAAAATAAACCAAGAGATAAACTTGATACAGACGCTTGATAGTGGCGTCGATTATATTGTCTCAATTTCTTTTAAAATTCCGCAGTGCTACAATCTAAGTTAATGAACCTTGCTAATCATTTATACTGATCGTGAAGTTGGTGATGTAAGTGTGAGTTTGAACATAAATAGAGATGCACAAAACTACTAGGATTTAAAACAGATTATGAGCACAAAGACCTAGAGGAAATTATTTCCCACGCTCTTACTCCAGCTCAATTGAGCGGTACTGTGACCTTACACCGTTTAACTGATCAATTCATTAATCATACTAAAAGAGAATTGCGTAAAAAACGTTCTACATTTATTAATCATACACAAGTGTTGAAGAATCCCTCTAGCTATAAGTCAGTGACGGATCCAGTCCGCGAGCGGTACGAGCGATCGCTCGTACCTTTTAACCAAAAAATTGTTTTTTCCCAGCAGATCTCGCTTAGAATAATTTGTTTCTATGACGACCACACGTATCTCGCACTTTTATCGTATACCGCATGTACCAAAAAACAATTCTGGATCCGCCACTGCTATAAGTCAATTATTATTTGTAAACCAGATAAAGAAAATGGTGTTGTTATCGGATGATATCGGATGATGTCAATATTAATCTTTCCTTAACGAGTTATACAACTTTTAAACATCTATTTATGCAAGTAATGAGGTATTAGCACAAAACATTTAAAGTTGAAAAATGTTGTTCAAAATATTAAAATGCGAACTGATTACCTTTTCTTATTTTTCAACAACAATATCATGTATAGTAAGTGCCGTTCAAATATAATAACTTAATCAAGAAATCAAATGATTCTCAAACTAAAATAGTGTCGAATGAACTCAGTAGATCAATCTTTTCTCTCAGTCACAAATGAGCAAATGAGCAAAACATACTTTTTCTTTTGTTTTTATCAACTTTTCTGTTTCTTCTTTAACTAACTCTCCTAAACCAAATTCTTCATCCATCTTTTCGGGTAAATTTGCCTAAAATAGAATACAAAAACATTTAAAAGCCGAGTTAAATACTAGGAAATGTGACTACATACTCTTTCAACTGCTTTACGTTTTTCAATATCAACTCGACGCATTTTTTCAATCCATGCTGATGTTAATTCATCACTGTCAGCTATACTCAAAGATTTTGTACTTCTAAAAAAGTAACAGAAATGAAATAAGCCTTGTGCTTCGTGCATGTAAAACTAATTACTTACAAAAACTTTTCTTCTAATTGTCTTTTTTCTTTATGTAATGATAATTTATCTTTGATTTGCTGAGTGTGTTTTTTTTCCGTTAGACTAATTGCTGGACGATGAGTAAATACATCTTCACCATTGTATATTATATTTTCTCCCTGTTGTTTCGATGGTTCTTCATTCAGCTTAGTTAGTGGTTTCATTCCCAATTGAGCACGAAGTTTACTAAAAGTAAAAAACAATTAAGTTTTTTGTCTTTTCGTTAAATTTTTATTTTAGCTTACTTTGTTTCACTAAAAGATAGCGATGATCGTTCTGTATCTCCACTATTCGCAGAACAACCTTGAACTGATGGTGGCGGTGCATCTTCTCGAGCTACTTTACGTTCAATATATTCACGTTCACAACGTTTATCTAAATGAAGAAAAAAACATGATGGTATCTATTAGTATTTATGTAACTAACTTACGTTCTTTTAAACCTTTGTAGTTTTTCGTATTCGAACCCATAGCTAAGTTTTAATCTGAAAATAATGAACGATATTAAAAAAGAAAATAAGAAAAAAAAGCAAAAAGCAACTAGACTTCGGTAAACGCGAACAATTTAAACAAATAGATCATCCATAAATGTGGACCGATGAACATTAAAGGGATAAGTTCAGTTGATGATCACTCATCTCCACGCTTCGAAGTGCATCCGAACTCCAGAGTAAGAAATGGTGGGATATCTTCCGAATTTCGAACAGCGTTGTCCGATTAGCGTGAAGAAAGTTTCGACAATGTCCGTGGATTGCTGGAATTTTCATCTTGCTGAAAATTTGTCGACCCTTTTTATGAGTACAACAAATATTATAATTATTCTGCTGATAACTGATCTAAAAGCTATTATGAGCAGCTAATTTAGATACTTACAACCAGTAAGCTGTCTGTTAGAATATTCGATAGTCTTTTAAATATCGACGTACGCACGCAAATTTTTCACTTCTTTAAAAACATGTCTATCAAAAAACCTCCCCACTTCTCTCAAAAGCAATCGCAAATCCTGAATTTTGAAGACCATAATCAGAACTGTGGAAGCCGTTGCAAACTATAAGCATAAACTGAAGTCGTATTTTAACGATTATCGAATTAACAGTCTTACTCGTCAAAAGTCATCAGTATAATATTCTACCCTAGTGAATGTACTTGACGCAAGTACTTGCCTAAGTAATGTCCATAGTACTTACAATTTTGTCCCAAGTCACATAAAAAATTCAAGTACTTGTGCAAGTAAATTTAAGTACTTGTCACGTATTTTTGACCCAGTCAAAATGTAGTGGGATTTCTTTATTTCAATTGCGGGAGTGTCACGCAAACTATGGATACTTCTAAGTCCAAGTACTTGCCTAAAAGTAATGTCCATAGTACTTGCGACTTTTTCGTATCCAAGTACTTGGCCTCAAGTACATTCACTAGCATAGGGTAGTGGTTACGTAACGTAATGTAACTCACATTGACGGCGCGCTACCACTATACACGGAGTGTCACGACTCAAAAAAAAACTCTACGAAACATGAAAAATATAATGAAACATTAAGTAAGTATTTATGTTAATCTTCTATTCGTTTTTATTTGTCTAAAAGCAAAGCCGCAAACGATTTTTTTTGCCGCCATGGAATAGACATTATTTCCTTCAACCGTTTCAACAGACCGAAAGGTGTCGATATCCACAGTGTTTATTTTTCCGCTACTAATTTTTAACTACTCCTTCTGGTAGAAAAAGAAATATTCAGCAAATTATGTACAGACAACTACAGCAAACATTACACAATCAACTTAGACGCTTATTAATGACACCAATACCAAAAAGATTAATCTAATATCGCATTTCAACTTCTATGCCTTTCCCATACAATTATGAAAAAATGAGACCTCTAAAAATCGAGAAGGAGGATTCTCCTGGTTTGTGACTAGTTATCGATAGAGGGTGTTAACAAATCTGAGAGACTGGCGACTTTCTATTCTAGTGAAATTTCTTGTAAATAAGACCTTGAGTACAAAACTTTTTACATTTTATTTTCCTATCAGTATATGATAGACATTAGACATATGATTGTAAGTGGCCGTAGACTAGGTTTTTTTAGATTAAAAGCATATCACCGGAAAAAGAATAAAATTGGTTTTGAGTTGCTGAAAAGTACTTTTTCGTATTCAACACCAGGGTTCCCGATCAGGAGGGGAGGGTGCTCCCCCCCTAAAAAACTTTTTGGACTTTCTGCTAAAGTTTTTGACGATTTTCCACCAGCAAGTTTCTGCCAGAAAATTTCAAAAGCTTTTTTTCGTCAGCCACTTTCTACGAAGCAAACTTTTTAGGTCCTCCCATCCCTAAGAACAATCGGAAACCCTGTTCAGCACACTTGATAACCCAGAAGATTTTCTATTTTTGGTAAGAAGTACTGCCAAAAGTTTAGGAACAAAATGGCGAAAAAAACTTCCTGTCGGAAAATAATATTAGTTTGATAAATTTTCCTAAAACTGTTGGAAGTACTCCTTGGCAAAAAAAGAAAATCTTCTGGGTTATCGAGTGTGTTGAATATGAAGTTCGTATTCAGCACATACGAATTACAGCAAAGTGCTTTTGAAAAGCACTTTTTTTAGCAACTCAAAACCAACTATACTTTTTTGTTTCAGTGATATAATGTTAAAAGTGAGACTAAACACACTTAGTAGTGGAATTTTCAATGTAACCGATTTCTTGATGTTATAAACGACTTTTTTCATAAACAAAATAGCATAAAAATAAACAAAAACTTCTTTTTCTTGGTAAATTTCATATAAAAAAACAACGTTCAGAAATATAGAAAAATAAATGTTAGCACAAGAAAAGCATTCTATCCATGCTGTTCTTGTAAAGTCTACTGTCCAGGTTCAGTTGTCTCAGTCCGAACCAATATGGTGAAAATCTAGCTCGAGCTGCGATAACAAAAATGTTTTCGTGCTGATTCCGGCATTATTCAACGTCAGAGCTTACCGGAAATACAACGGACAATCATAGGAAACGACTAGCTCCAACACCGGAACAGCCACTGGAATGATGGACTTGGGTGGTTTTAAGTAAACTAAACAGAGTTGTGAAGAGAATGTGTGCTGAAACTGTGCTCATCAAGTACGACTGTACAACTTTTTGACAAAAATGGATGAAATTGTTAAAATGTGTATACCGTAATATGACAAATATTTAGGTGGGACTACTCACAAAAAGTGGGATATCAAACAACCCTGTTGTAGATTCTTCTATGAATAGTTATCTTCAAGAAAGAAAAAGCTTCGAAGCTATTCTAAGGAGGAAACCTCGGGAACTACGCTACCGCTTTTTCAGCCAAACTTAGTGGGTTATAGGTTATCAACTATGCTGAATCCGAATATCATAGTGATAGCTGCCCAGGGAGCGGTTTTCCAGAAAATCAGTTTTTCAGAAACTCTAAAAAGTTACCGAAGCCTTTCTTAATGAGGCATGATTGTAGCCCACAAATTTATAATTAAAATGAGACATCCTCCAGCTCTATACGATCTTTCTTTGCAAAGTTATAAAATTTACAAGAAAAGCCCTAAATGTTCATTATCAGCTCAAAAAGCTACAGAAATAAGAGGAAATTAATTCTTGTAAATTCTATAACTTTGCAAAGAAAGATCGTATAGAGCTGGAGGATGTCTCATTTTAATCATAAATTTGGAGACTGCAATCATGGCTCATTAAGAAAGGTTTCGGTAAACTTTTTAGAGTTTCTGAAGAACTAGTTTTACAGAAAACCGCTCCCTGGACAGCTACCACTACGATATTCGGATTCAGCATAGTTGATGACCTATAACCCGCTAATGTTTGGTTGAAAAAGCGATGTGACACTTCGCGAGGTCCACTCGTAAGTGTGAAATTTGTTGCACTTATACAAGTATAAATGTGGAGCAAAATGGTGATCAAGAATTATAAACACCTTGGTGTGAAAAGTTAAAACGCTTCAAGGCATTGTCACTTCTTCAATTACTACATTTTCTGATAAGATCTTACTGAAAAAATTTCGTCATGACTATTTCTGCGATTTTTGCCTATGACAAAACCCTAGCACAAGTGTACTAGAGGACTTTGAACATTTTTTCCTGAAGTGACCTACTTATAAGAGAGTCGTAAAATCCTGTTCGCCATGCTTGAAACTGCGAGCATACCTATGAGCTTAGATCATCTGTTACTGCGTTCTACTCTTAATCAAGCTGCAACTTATTTAATCTACAAAGCTGTTTGTCAGTTCATCACTGATACTGAGCGTTTTTGATTAATTTCTGTACGTTTCATGACTGTTGCACGCCTCTGATTATGTGTTCTTTCTATCTTATAAAAAGGTGTCTCTCTAGACGTTGCGATCTGCGTGTTCTTCTTGTTTTTAGTTATTTCAACTTCTGAATGTATTGTTTAAAACAATTCTGTTCTCTAACTGTGTCGTTTTTTGTTTTTTAATCTGATCCTTTCTCTCCCATTGTCATTTATGTTTGTCTTTTTGTTTTTTTCAGTATCTCCTCGTTCTTATTTGGAAAGTCAAAGAATAATATAATATAGTCCATAGGCCACGATTTTAATCTTTGTACTGTTCTTCTCTCTCCTACTAAACAAAGTTATATCAACCAAGTTCTAGCCTTCTAGCATGCTAGCGGAGATATGTTATACGTCACAATGTGCAAGTATATTGTCGGCTGAGCCAAGATATGTAAACATAAGTAAGTTGTCAAAGATTATTATATGATTTGACAGTTATCATGCAATATATTAACACAAAAAGAAAATTGTCTTATAGTGATCATAATTAATTCTTATTCTTCAAAGTATGGATTCATTGCCATCGCTAATATGACTTCATAGCGATCGAGGTGTGACTTAAAGATTTTATCATGATCACTCACAACCATGATCGTACCAATAGTCAACCAAGAAGATTGACTTGGGACACTACTCATCGAGATGATTAGTAAAAACAATTATGTACGTCATTATAGGATAAACAGAATCTTTGGCAGACTATACGATTATTTACTTCTGACAATAAATGAGTTTTCAACTTGTTATGACACTGTGCTAAGTGCTGTAATTTTGCAGCACTTTTTCTTAATTGCAGTTATGTGTGAGAGAGTATGTGGCATATTCGTTTTGGTTGCCCATTAACAATAGGTTACTGAATACTGGAAAACCAACAACAGTGTATTGATATTTGTAGACGAAGAACACTATCGACACTTGTGCCTTGCTTATGCAACATCAAAACTTACGCTCTCTTGTGACGATGGGCAATTTCTTGTAGACTATACTAAAATCGTGTGAGAGCACATTAATAAAAGGTTTAAGAAGCCAACTGTCTTTTCACCTATATTTGAAGAGTAAGTACCACAGGTCTAAATCATTTGTATGGCTTAATCAATTTTTTCTTCTATACTATGATACAGAGATCAGTCCAAAAGCAGAGAATCTATGTCTGTTCTAACTGCAT